TGGGTGGTTGTCAAGATTATGATCCTTTTTTTGGGTACCCTGAATATTGGGTGCCGTATTATACTAGGGATCCACAAAGGGACCATAATTTTGACGACCACCTATGTGTATATGCATTTGTATATGTATATGTATATATCTATATATATATATATATTTACTTATTTATATGAGGCCGTACATGTTGGGGGGCGACGCGCTCAATATTGAAGAGTTCGAGTGGCGGGGGTGGGCGGGGGGAAGGATTTTTTTTTTCGTTTTCGATAGGGTTTGGGGTTTAGGGGTTGTTGATTTGGATAGTTAACCCAGATATAGTTTTCCATACCAGGAAATCAGCAGTACGGTCTGTTTTAACATCCCTATTTTTCTCAACCCTTCAACATAAACCCTATAAAGGAGCCTTCGGGTTGAACAGTGCAGGGAGTTCGGTCCTCAAGCGTGCATGATCATGGTGGACGCTCGCTCTTTCCGAGACGAGGAGCTCTTTTTCGAGAGTTTCCTATTTGTCCAGTAAGAGTTTAGGGTTTTTGGAATAACCTGTAACTTTCTGAACAACATGACACCCAAAGTATAGCAACACCTTAAATTGTTGGAGACACCCCGAAGGACTACAATAGCACTTGCTCCCATAAACTTCGTCATGGCCCCTATAAGAGTCCCGATACTGAAAGCACAAACCCCAAACATCCCGAGCCCTAAGCCCTGAACCCTTAACGCCTAATCGCTGAACACTAAAACCCAAACCCTAAACCCCTAAGCCCTAACCCTAAAGGTGCCGACCTTAAGACCAGGTTTTGCCTACAACTTGACCATGGTCCAGGAATTTATTAAGAGGAGCTACACTGAGGATCGAACCATGTTGGGAATCTTGGTGGGATGTTTTTAAGGTTTAAGGATCGTATAGGGGTTATTTCAGAATAGTGGAAAAGAACATGAAGACAACCATTTAGGGTTTAGGCTCAAGGATGTAAGATTTTAGGGTGTAAGGGTGCAGGGTTTAGGGGTTTAGGGTTTGGGTTTTACGGTTCAGGGATTAGGGATTAGGGTTTCTTGGTGCGACTTTTCTACATCTTTAGCACTTGAACAGTTTTAGCGCTCCCCTCTAGCATATCAGGGGAGTTGAAAGCTAAACCGTAAACCCTACACAGCGGGTAAATCCCTAAACCCTAAGCCCTAAATAGCAGTTTCCATTTTACTCTCCATTATCCCCACATAACCCAAGCAGCCAAGGAAGGAGCCAACTCGGCCAGCTCAAAAGAGACCTGCTGGCCTGCAATAGGGCAGGCATCACTTGGAAGTTCCTAGTGGCTCGATTCTAACATATATGTATATGCATATATATAGGGGTATATAAGAATATACAGGGAGATGTAGCGATAATGAAAAATGGAAGCTACTATTTAGGGTTTAGGGTTTTTGCCTCTTTGCCCGTTTGTGATACCAGTTTCTCCCCCTGAGCCCTAAACCCTAAACCTTAACACCCTAAACCCCAATACCGTAGTACCCTAAACCCTACCTAAACCCCAAAAGTATGTAAAATAATGGCCTTTAGGGCTGTTATTATGGGTTACGGGCCATTACGTTACATATTTTGGGTGTTTAGGTAGTACTCTAATACCCTAAACCCGAATACCCGGAACCCTAATACTCTAAACCCTAAATCCTAACCTAGGTGGTCAGCATTCCCATGCAAGCCATGGGATTTCCTGCCGCACAAGACCGGTGGTACGGCTACGCTGCCGAGCGAAATTCCCTACTGAAGTTTATACAGGACTTACTGGCGCTTAAGGGGTTGGGTGGAGCGGATCCTAGAATGACTCTGGCATTATCGTTGCTTCTCCCCCATAAAAATCAACGTCTTCCCCTTATCCCCTCCTACTACTTAAAAAAAAACCCGCCCGGAGCAACTATGATCGGCGGGTTGAAGCTCGCGACCCCAGGGTAGCCTAAAAACCAATAGCTCTTATGACGATCCCTTGGAAACCAATTTAAACAACCTGGATTTGGACATCCCCCCCGATACCTCACTGTTTGACCCCGAATTGGTCTTGCCCTTCCACAAGGTGTCTTGCAGGACCTTAGGTTAGCGCTTGGAGGTTTTCTTAATTGTTGGGAAAGTGTTTATATGGGGGCGAGATTACTTCCGCGCAGCAGTCGCTATGATCCCTTCCCGCCTTACCCTTAGCAACAGTAAGAGGACGAAGGGATTCAGAATGTGGTCTTCCTTTCCGCGGATATCCACGCCACCTTCATCAGTGGCTCGGTTGAGCTTTGGGACGTTCAGTCATGTCCTTTTGGGGTTTAAAGGGTCCTTGGTGGGATCCTCTCAAAAAAGTCCTTGTATTGTCCTCGAGGACCCCACGATCTCCGCGTAATTCCGTCCTATCCATATAGGTTCCATAAGGGCCTCCTTTCTCCCTCGAAGTCCAAACATCACTCCTACATGGGGTTTTAAAGTTTGTGCATACACTGGGATAGGGTCTTGAGAAGCTGCCAAATACTCACCCCTAGGCCCAAAAATCAGCAGCCCTAAACCCGAAACGCTCAATTCAAACCCTAAACCCTAAGCCCCTGAATCCTAAACCCTAAACCCTAAGCCCTAAACCCTAAGCCTCTGAATCCGAAACCCCGAAGCCTAAACCGTCTTCCAGACGGTGATTCAAGCCAATCCAGGTGACGTTGCATGGCAGCCTCTGGGATTCATCCCGTCCGACCCACCTGAGGAGCTAAGGGTATATAGTCCCCTTTACGTGGATAGAATATGGGGTTTAGGGGTAAGGTTTTAGGGTTTAGGGTTTAGGGTATAGTGCTCGTTACGTAGATAGAATATGGGGTATTTGGAGGTCTTATTATACATACTGTACACAAAGCCATATTCTATCTACTTATGGGGGACTGGCTAGGGGTTGAGGTTCAGGGTTTAGGGTCTGGGGTTTAAGGTTCAGGGTTTAGGATATAGGGTTGTAAGGTTGAGGGTATAGGCTTTAGGGTGTAGGGTATATATATATATATAGGGTTTAGGGTGCAGGGTCTAGGCTTTAGGTTTAGGGTACAGGGTACAGGGTGTCTCAGTGAGGGGGTGCGCAGGTGCTGGAAGCACCCAGGCGCACACCCCGACCTGCATGAGCCCACCCCCAATGGCGCTCCACCCTCGCCTTGACCTTCACGGGTTTAGGTTTCTCTCGTACTCTGATCGCGCTCCTGTCTTCTTATTGCCTTTCAGACCAGGCGGGTGCGCGGTTTGGGCTGAGTCTGGCTCCAGAGCTATTGTGTTATTGAGATTGAGCCTGCTTGGAGGCCCTCGAGCCTTGAAGCAGGTGGACCTGTCCAGACTAGACAGGTGCAAGGTTTGGGTTTGGGTCTGGCTCGGGGCCTCTAGTTTTTTCGGACGGTGCCCTAACTGGCTGCTTCCAATCCTGAACAAATGGACCTGTCTATGGCAGGTCGGTGCAAGGCTTGGGCTGGTCTGGCTCGAGGCTTCTTGTGCTTGTTGATTGAGCCTTGCCTTGACGCCTTCGAGCCTTGAACCAGGCGGACCTGTCCAGACTAGACGGGTGCCAGGTTGGGGTTCGAGGCCTCTAGTGTCTTCATGCCCCTGACTTGATGCCTCCAATCCTGAACAAATGGACCTCTGGGTAGGTCAGCGCGTCCAGAGCAGGTCGGTGCAAGGTTTGGGCTAGGTCTGGCTCGAGGCTTCTTGTGCTTATTGAGATTGAGCCTTCCAGACCTGTCCGCAAGGTTTGGGTTTGGGTCTGGCTCGAAGCCTCTACTTTTCTTCAGATGCAGCCCTGGCTGGACGTCTAAGCCAGATAGAGCCTTCGCTTCAAGTGGTCCAGCACGGAGGCCTTTAGGGGCGAGGCCTCCAATTTTCTTCAATCAAGATAAGCGAGAGGTGCGACAATTGGGGGAGAAACTGAGCTTCTCAGAGCTGGGAGGTTCTGGGAGGCCCTAGCTAGCAGAGGCCCTGGATCCTAAAACCTAAACCTTTTGCCCGATCCTAAACCCTAAAACCTATAGATCCTAAACCCTAACCCTCACCCCAAAGATCCTACACCGTAAACGTTAAATCTGTTATGGACATGTTTCCGTGTGCAGCTTCAAAGTTTGGAGCTGCCATGGACGGATACCTGGCTCTGCTCATCGCCACGGAGGCCCGGCTTCGAACGTATTGCTGGGAATACGTAAAGTTAGTAGTGTTACCCCATTGTTATTTATTATTGTTACGAGTATTACTGTTACGATTATTAATTGGTATTATTGCTCTTCCCAGGTTTTTGCTATCGGTATTAAACCCTAAGCCCTGGGTCTGCCAATAGCCCCAAACCCTAAGCCCTGAACCCCTAAACCCCTAAACCCTGAACCCGAAGCCCAAAACCCTACGCCTAAAGCCCAAACCCCTAACCCTAAACCCTATAAACCCTCAACCCTAAAGCCCAAACCCAAACCCTAAACCTAACAGTGGCAGGGCATGATCGAAGCTGAGATCATCCTGCGGCCCTTGCCTCGGATGGGGCATTCAAAATGAGCCCTATACATAGTCCCCCTTAAATAGATAGAATATGGCGTATATGAGGGTCTTAGTATAACATGCCCAAAGCCCTATTCTATCTACTGCAGGGGACTATAGTCCCTACCAGGGTTCACACTCCCCATATATCCCTTGTATCGTCAACAAGGCGTACATCCGTATCAGCTGGACAATCCGAGGCCAATGCTCAAGATCCATTGCGGTCTCGGGTCCAGGATGGCGGACGTTTCTGTCAAGCAAGTGCTTCTTAGAGGGCTGGCGATCGAACCTGCAGGAGCGAATTGGCACAGGAGCGGAAGCACAAAAAACACTACATCGCGCGGAGCTCGGGCTAAGCCAGCCAGTCACACTGTCAAGCATCCGCTGTCTAGAGCAAGTACGAAAGTGTAGCTAGTGGTAAAGCGTGTCTAGTATCTACAAGTGGTCAAAAGATGAGCCACGAGCTGGATCTCATGATTTTCCTGGAAGGTCCCTATAGCTTTATCATGGCCCCCTCGAAGAAGAACGACCAAGGCTAACAACACGACCCAGGGCGATGGCGTGCCAGTCGAAGAGCTTGATGACGATGAGTGCTCAGACAACTTACAGCTGTGCTAAAGGTCTGGCCCCTCCGCAAATGTTTTTGTTTCACAAGACACTAGCCATTCGTCCAGGATCTCGCTGTTTGGTGTGGTGAACTGGCTCTACTACTGCAGGAACCTCGTTCCAGTGTATGGTCAACGACCTTCTTAGCAGGTACAACGAGCTGCTCGACAACGGAGCTTTCATCTACGACCCTTCCAGGAGACCCCCTCAAGCCTAAACTTGAGACCCTGTTTCATACAGGGTTTAGGCTTAGGTTAAAGGCCAGGAGTAACAAGCACATGGTTTTCATGCAGTTTGGGATTTCAATCCCCAAAGCTTGAAGGTCAACCCGGATCCTTCCCAGAGTCCTATCGGAAACAGCCAGGGTGGTATGGAGGCTTCTCAAAACGATCGTGAAGGTACACCAAAAGCGGGCCCACAATTTCTCAACTACATACAGGTGTACGAAGCGTGACCATGCCCTAGACCCCCCCCCAAATCTTGAAAGCTAAGCTTTAAGATTTAGGGCTTCGGGTTGGTTTAGGGGCTTCTCTCCATCAATGGCATTGGTGCTTTAGGGGGAAGATTGTGAGCACAGCACACACAGGCAACATGGGGGGAATGTTGGAAATTTGGTGGTTTCTAGGGGCTAGACGGGATCAAATGGAGATGGCGGGGGAATATACAAGGACATTTTGGGAGGAGACCGGCAGTGATTTTGGGCATGGAAAAGGCCGATTGTTAGCTCCCGATGTCATTCTGGGGCGACTTGACGGGTTATTCGCCAGCGACCTGCCGGGTCTAGCGCGCAGCCCGCAGCTGCCTGCGCGACTGGAGCTCCGTCGCCAGCCGGAGGGCGGAGCGGCCTTCAGCGCGTTCGCCCTGCTCGACGGCCGGGCTCACCAGTATAGGGTGTAAGTGTAAGGTTTAGGGTACAGGGTATAGAGTGTGAGTGTAAGATTTAGGGTTTAGGGTACAGGGTTTTGGGTTCAAGGCTCAGGGTATAGGGTCAGGGTGTAGGGTTTATGGTTTAGGGCTTGAGGTTTAGAGTATGGTGTTGGAAGAACACCCCCCCAAACTAGCCTAAGCCCTCATAATTCTGATTCTTTTTTTAAGGGGGTGGCAGTCTTTATCGGGCCATGCCGCGGGTAAACCCTAAGCCTAAGCCTTCAAACCCAAAGCCCCAGACCCTACGCCCAAAACATCCCAAAACCCTTAGCCCTAAACGCTAAACCTTGAACCCTAAGCGGTAGACTAAAGGAGGGGTCGCTGTTGTCGAGCCACAGACCCCATGCCAGAAAGAGCAGGCCGCGCAGAGGGGAGGGTGAAGCCTCCCCTCTATGAGCTGTGCAGGCCTACGAAACAGTCGTGCTGCACCCCCCCCCCACCGGGAATCCTTAATTGGGAGCGGCCAGACAGGCCCTCCCCTTGGTTTTGAAAATGGAAGGTAAAGTGATGGTGGGCGCCTGTTTTTTGTTTGGCTTTAGCTGGCGCGCCCTTCCATGAGCCCTCCAAAGCCTCAGGCCCCCCAAGCCCATCCAGACCCAAACGCCTCCAGCAGAGCCTTCTAGATTCTGGCCGCACTTTAATGCAATCCGCAGTGTCAGGCTTAATTTCCTACCAGCTAAATTGCCTACCTACCAACAGTTTGTGAGACGGAGGTAAGCGGCCTCATAGCACAATGGGGGCCATCGGATCCGCTCGATTTGTTTTGCAAACCTTGCTCCCAGTCTTGAATAAACGTGCCTGATGATCATGGTCAAGTTTCTGAGGAGTATGAAACGAATGCAAGCGTACTGAATTATTCACTTCCCCAGTCGTTGGTCGCCTTCCTCGAACTGCTTGCTCCAAAGCTGATGCATTGGTGTAGCACTTCCGGCACAATCCACTTTTGCTTTACCATATTGTACCACTTTTTGCAATATTGAACTTCCAACATCTCGTTTCTCATGCAGCATAGTGCTTCGAGACATCAGTGCAATCTCTAGAAGTTCCGAGGGATTCAAGAAGAGGACGGTTCCAATGTGGACAACCGACTTGCGCATGAAACTTTCTTCGAGTTCCCACATCATACTTGTTTCAATGGGAGGCAGCTTGCGCATCGAACGCAAGCAGGGGGTCTTTCACGGCCTGTGGCTCACTGGTTGGTCGCTGGCTGTAGGGAATGCATTGCAACAACAACTGCAAAGGGCCGAAAAATATTTTCAATGCACGCGGGACATACACTTTGAGCATTGCAATGGCAAACCACCGCTGGCAAGTGTTCCGGACCATATAAGGCAGACTGACCGTTCTGAGCCTGAAAATGAACACAGAATGTAAGTACCCATAGATCCTCACATGCAAAAGCACCAATACTTGAGCAAATGCAATAAATTCCAACAAGGCCGTACAGACTCCCACCTGCCAGGAGGCCTTATGCTGTGACGGAACCATGGTCACAGTTGAACACCAACCACCTCCAGCGGCCATGGGCAGTGTGTCAAGCTGTCTCACAAAGCTCTTGCCAAAATCCTACGACTGGGGCTACGCAAGCCGTTTCTGTAAGCCTCCAAACCGCCACGTCCAGTGAATGTGGCGTTAGCGAGGTCTCATGATGCATGCGTGCAGGAACCCTTAAACCCTAATTGA